AAGATGCGGTCGCATATGCCCGAAAGTGTCACGCGTGTCAAGTGCACGAGAATTATATGCATCAACCCCCGGAGCATCTGCATCCTTCGGCTACATCATGGCCTTTTGAGACTTGGTGAATGGATATTGTTGGTCGTATAAATCCCCCGTCAGTCAAATGTGATCGATTTATTCTCGCAATTACCGATTACTTCTCCAAATGGGCTGAAGCAATTCCGCTCAGAGAAGCTAAGACAAGCAACGTTATCGCATTCATCAAGCACCATATTATCTATCGATATGGTGTCCCAAGATGAATCATACATGATAACGGTCCTCAGTTCGTTAGTAATGCATTCATCAGATTTTGCGAGAAGTTTAAAATTCAAGACATCTCGTCAAAAGCTTATAATCCTACGGCAAACGGATTAGCTGAAGCATTTAATAAGACTATCATCAAGCTTCTATCAAAACTCGTGAAGACTAACAAACGAGATTGGGATGATAAACTCGGCAAAGCCCTATGGGCTTACCGCACCACAGTTCGCATACCTACTGGCGCAACCCCGTACTCTTTGGTGTACGGGTGTGAAGCCGTCCTTCCGTTAGAAATACAAATTCCATCTCTTCGAATCGCTCTCACAACCCAGATGACGACCGAAGAACAACATCAGAAACATCTCGAAGAACTCAAGATGCTCGACAAAAAGCGCTTAGAAGCTCAACAGCACATTGAGTTCTACCAAGCCAGAATTTCCCGAGCTTTTGATAAGAAGGTTCGACAACGGAGTTTTAAAGAAGGAGATTTGGTCTTAACTGAACGTCGGCCCATGATCCTTAATTCCAAAAAGAAAGGTAAATTTGAACCCAAATGGGAAGTGTCACGCCCCGCTTCCCAAAATACCAGGGAATCAGAACGTGAACAAGCCCGCGACGTATTAGACTGAGGAGAAAAAAGTACTAGACCCCTTCTGCTCAATCTAATACGCTAAGCGTCAAGCAAATATAAAACGAAGGCACAGGTCCCCGATCACAGTGGCGAGAATATAATAAACAACTCGGAACCAAAAGATACATATCACAACTGAAATGATCATCCAGACATAATATTCGGGTCAAACATGCCCTTATACAAAGCTATCTGAATACTAGGGAATATAAAAATAGTACATCGACCAATAGAAATAAAAGTACTGGAAGGTAAACTAGGATCATCAGCTAACTATAAAGCGGTAACTAAGCTTCAACTTGTTCTTCTGCTCCATCTGCAAAGCCTTCCTGCGGAGGATCCTCTGGCTCCTGGACTACTCCGAACTGTAGCTGTCCATCCTCTAAATCTGACGTACATCCCGAGAGGAAAGGAGTACGTCAGCGTGCATCGCACACGGCAAGATCCCAAAAGGAAGAATAGAAACGGTCGTGCGACAAATGCAATAATAGTAATAACAATGGAAACATGCAACTGAAATACTAATAATCTATATAATTTACTATTAGAATAAAATAATCAGAATAATCTAAAATCAACCAAGTAACAAGTCGATCATGCAGCTAGCGATCAGAATAATCATCCAAGCACATGGTCATACACTAGATGGAATTAATACTTAAAAATCTACAACTTGAGACGTAGTACGTCGAGCAAAATAATCCAAACAAGGAAACCCTCATGTATATACCATATGTCTCAAATTGTAGATAATTAAATATTAATCCCAATCTATGTATGAAAAGAAACATAACTGGTCTGTATCTCACAAGAATTCATACATAGCCAAGAAACGAGGTCATGTAACTAGCCATCCTATAACAGGTCGCTGGTTCACATCTCACACAGAGTCCACACTCATATCAACGGATAACTGACTGTTCACAAATCCCCTACATGCACCCAATACGCCGCTACATAAGATCGGTCAAAGGGCTACACGCAATCCGATTTCAGCCTGGTCCGAACTCAAGTTAAACTCGGGTGAATGTCAAGATCACGGACCAAAGTGACCACACGAGCTTCACTTTGACCCAACAAACCAACCCCAATGCTACACAAGATCATGGGGCAAGCCTGGAAGATACATCATCAGTCTTATCCGATCACATGAACACAGACTTTCCCATCCCAACTCTTCATGTTTTGCTAAGTCAAAGCCCTAGCCAACTCCAAGTCATGGGTAGGATAATTCGCTGCATTGCTTCGCTCTTCGGAATTGACGAGAAGCATATGCTACGCACATGACCATCCTGCTGAAAGAAGCATCCCAATCTCTCTACCTTGATGCGTCTCAAACACTTCAAAGTTCCCACTCTTAATCTGGTATCGTCAAAGACTGGGGCTCGAAAAATCATGCGAGAACTTAACTCCTCAAACGCCTGCCCAAGCATCGGACCAAACAAATCTAATGTCCTTCCTCATAAGTCTGTCATTGGCTTTCATTCATAATTCAAGAAAATCCTTGATGAAGCGCCGATAATATACAGCTTAGCCCCAGGAAGCCTCTTAATGTCAGATATGTCCTAAGGGTAGGCCTAATTCTCACTGTAGATACGGTTTTGCCGATCCACTTGATATACCGCTCTCCTTAGCAACCATGTGTCCTAGAAATGCGATGCGATTTAGCTAGAACGGTGGCACTTTGCTATACTTGGCGAACAGCCGATGCTCTCTCAGGGTCTGCAACACGTATGCAAGTGCTCTGCATGCCTGCCCTTCACGTCTGCTGAGTTATACCAGGACATGCATAAAAAAGACTTTTCTACAGGAACTTGTCGCAGCAACCATCATAGAATACCAGATTCATCAGGCTTATGAATGTCGCTGGTGCATTAGTCACAACAAAACGACATCACTGAAGAACTCATACATGTCCAATACTCTCGTTCTGGAACGTGCAGTCTTAGGAACTCAGAGTCCTTGACCTGTCACTTGGTGATATCCACATCCCCAGATCCAGCTTAAGAAAATACTCTCGATTCTCCTAATTGGCGAAGATATCAAATACGGGGAAGTGGATAGCTATTTTCTTCACTGTCAACAAGCGATGTCAACTCCCGGTAGTCGATGCAGCATTCGCCTTGGATCATCCTTCTTACCCACAAGAAACATAGGTGTCTCGGCCCCAGGCCGATACACTGGGTACGTTAATCAAGCCTCTCTGCCATAAGATCATCACCAACTGAGTCCAAAGCTTTTGCGTCAACTCCAGCGCGGAGCATACGGATAAGGAGTCTTGGAGATCTCGAGCGTTCCAGCTTCAATTCTTATGGAGAAACTCATTGCTCGATCCCGGTGGGGCCAACCCGTACAAATATCATCGGGAGAAATACATCTTCAAATTCCGAACTACAATTGCGCTCTCTCGATATCCATCCTGCATGGCTAGCCAAACGTTCGCCTTCTCGGTCCTAGCTCTGTACTCTACAGGTGTCGCGCATGTCCGCTGCATAACTGAGGAACTCAAACCTCAGGGTGCATCCGGTATCTCCAATACTACACTTTTGACGACGACAATCAATGGTGGCAAAGAATGACCCAACCAATTCAGTCCCAAATACTGCATAAAGGCTCGGCAAATCCAATCACCAAGAAGATCATGCAAAGAGCTTCTCCTCCGCTGATAACCAGCGACATTGCTTCATAACGCCGGACATGCACTAAAATACCACTGACCAGTTGTTGATATTTCGCAGCCCATAGTTCAGAGGAGTTATAGGAAGAGAGTGAGCACTCGCCGCCAAATCGACGAGACAAGAAAACGAAATGAGAAGCTCTAGAGTCAAAAGAAGTGATAAAAGCAGGAACGAGAGAAAACAAGAACCTTGCCTATTACAGGAGGAGAATAATGCAACTAAACTTCGCACTCATAAAAAATCCTTATTAATGATTTCATCATAAGTAATGCTAAATAAAGAAGTTATTATGCAAATAAAACTAAGTATGAACATTCTTACCCAGTAATAACCTAGTCGGTTCGCCTTGTCAGCTTCCACAGCTGACATCATAAACGTCTGTGCTGTGGTTGTTGCCGTTGCAGCTTCCTGATAAAACTGCTTATGAGGAAGAAAAGGCTCCTGTCAGAGGGATAGGGTCCTGCTAAGCCGGTGCTACTGGGGCAGCGTCGAGTGGAGCTGGAAGAGCTGCCCGAACTGAAGAGTGGGGGCAAGCGGGCTGTTGTCGTTGTGGACAGTCCTGACTGCATGATCAGGGAGACATCCCACATGTGTAGCACAGAAGCAAGACGCCCTGCGGCGCAGCTTCCTAGGCTTGGGTTTGCCCCAGTGTAGACCATAAATAGGAACATTTCACTGAAGAGCTGGCCTCAGACGGTCTGCACCCCAGGACGTTGATAGGGTGTCGAGCCTGATGAAATGCGGCTGAGCTGAGAATTGTTGTTTGCCTCTACGGGGCCTGACTGGCTGCCTGCCTCGGGGGACGCGCTCGACATTCTGGCGGCTGGAGGCTTGCTGTGTGTCTTCCTATGAGTCACGTCGTGATCGGATCAGGTTCCTTATGCACGCTCTTTAATCTCCGCGTAGCTGCCATCAGTGCTTGCAGTCATGGGTCCCTAAAGCTGCTGCTACCTGCCAGCAGCCATCCTAATGTATTTGTCCAGACCCTTTTGAAACTGGATGCCTCCTAATCGTAGGGTCTCGCAACCAGTGGTGGACAGCATATCGGCTCAGGAAGAAAACTCCGGCCTCGTAGCTCATCAACTAGTATCCGCCTCCTTGCTTGAGTCACAAATCTACACAGCGCCAGCTCGTCCAGAGCTCGACTGAAGGAAAATATTTCCTGTTGAAGCGCTCGGTGAACGTTCCCATAGCTTTGCGTCTGCTCCAGATGCAGTTTCTCAGGGCTGGCCCACTCCAGATAGATCGAGCATGTCGTTGAGCTGAATATCCATAAGGTCCACCCATTCTACAGGCGACAATGTGGGTTCACCGTTGAGAATCGGTCTCAGTGACCTTTAGAACCCTCTGCTGTAGGATGTCTCGGCACCAGAGAAAGAAGGAGGCTGCATTACCGGCAACTCCTATAACACTAGTGTTCTTCTCAGCGAGGAGGATGCTGTTGCTGAGCTTCTCGACTGCCAATTGCCCAGCCAGATGCTGGCTGATCGTCACCAGTCCTGATATCATTTTACGCAAAAAGTTTAGCAAGGAGTCCACTTCGGCGTCGTGGACGCAGCTATCTACCGCGATACGGGTTACCATTGGCTCGTGTACCCACCATGGTTCTGAAGGGAAGATCATCGAGGATCAAATTATTGCCAGGAAGCAAATAAGAAAATCAAGGTCCAAAGCTAAAACTAAAATTTTAGTAAAATAGGAACTAAAACATATGTTATTTAAGTATAAATAGGATAAGGTTCAAATAAGTCTTACGGATGAAATTGATATGCATCTAAATTATTGATTACTATTCTCACTGGTGGGGAACTCGGCTCGACATGACCTGCCGTGGGCACCAAAAAACCCATGAGTAGCTGGAGAGAGAGATGGAGAGAGAGAGAAATAAGAGAGAGAGAGAGAGAGAGAGGACGTGTGAGTGTGGGTGAGAGAGGGGGACTTTTGAGGAGTGGGGGAATCACGAGGTGAAGAAAGAGATGCGGGAAACATGGGGAGGAAATTAAGGAGTGGGGTAGGGGGAGAGAGAGTATGAGAATGAGAGAGATGAAGAGAGAGAGATACAGAGTGAAATACCGGTGAGAGGAAAAACACAGGGAAAAATAACCCTTTAAATAATTTTAAAATATCATAAAATTTATTCAAATAAATATTAAAATTTATGGTCAAAATAATAATAACAATAACAATAATGAATAATTAACTATTAATTTAAAAATTTTACCGAAACAATTAAATTTATAATTAGCAAAACTATTAAAATAATATAATACCGTATTTTTAAATCGTAGAAAATTCTAGAGAAATTGGGAAAATACAAATACTCTTTTAGAAAAATAACATGTAATATTTAAATATCAGAAAATTATTTAAACCCGCATTAGAAATTTACGGTCATTACATCCTACCCCCCTTAAAACAAATTCCATCCTCGGAATTAAAACAAGGATGAAATATAAAGACAGATTCATCTCAACTCATATAAAGTTTCAAAATATATTGCATATCCATAAATAGGAAAAGTCATACAATGCGTTTTAAAATAAGATACAAGACAAGGTAGCTAGGATTCAGAAAATAGACGATGGTATCGCTGTCGCATCTCAGACTCAGTTTCCCAAGTCGACTCTCCAGGAGAATCTGGGTGCCACATCACATGAACAAGCGGAACGGCCTTGTTCTGGAGGGTCTTCTCCCTTCGGTCAAAAATCGCCACAGGCTACTTCTCGTCTGTCAAATCGGATCGCACCTCAATCTACGAGAAATCTACGACATGACTCGGATCTCCAACGTATTTTTGCAACTGAGAAATATAGAATATGTTATGCACTCCAGCCAGGGCGGGTGGTAATGCAAGTCAGTACACCACTTCTCCAACTCTCTCTAATACGTCGAAAGGTCCTACATATCGCGGACTCAACTTCCCACGCCTTCCAAAGCGAATGGTGCCTCGGTTGGGGGAAATCTTCTGGAACACATGATCTCCTGGCTGAAACTCTAAGTGCCGGCACTTCGCATCTGCCAAATGCTTGAATCTGTCCTGCGCTATACGAAGTCGCTCCCAGATGATCCTGACTGCATCAACTGATCTCTCAATCAACTCTAGCCCAAAAATCTCTCGTTCACCAATATCGTCCCAACTCAACGAAGAACGGCACTTCCTGCTATATAGTGCTGCAAAAGGGGCCATTCCAATACTAGCCTAGAAACTATTGTTGTATGCAAACTCCACCAAATGCAAGTGATCTTCCCACGATCCGTGAAAATCAAGCATACAATCTCTAAGCATATCCTCTAAAATCTGAGTGGTCCTCTCCGACTGCCCATCGGTCTGAGGATGATAAGCTGTGCTGAAACTGAGACTGGTCCCAAGACTCACCTGTAAACTCTTCCAGAACTCTGAGGTAAATCGGGTATCGCGATCCGAAATGATGCACACTGGAACTCTGTGCAATCGTACGATCTCCTGCAATACTAGAGATTTACTAACACTCTTGGGAAAGGAACTCATTGAAATATATAGAGATAAATATTTTACCTCCATGTATCTCTGAGCAAGATGCTCCATTGACTGTCCCACTCGGAATGGAATGAAGTGAGCCGATTTGGTTAATCGATCTACGATCACCCAAACAGCATCATTCTGTCTAGTGCTCCGAGGTAAGCCATTAACGAAGTCTATGGTGGCATGCTGCCACTTCTATTCCGGAATAGGCAATGGCTGCAAAAGATCTGCTATGCGCTAATGCTCTGCCTTCACTTGCTGACATACAAGGCACTTAGCCATACTACGAGCCACATCTCTCTTCATACCATGCCACCAAAAGTTCAGCTTCAGATCCTTATACATCCGGGGTGAATAGAATACGATGAGCTATGAGCTTCCCGTAATATCTCCTCTCGAACATCTCCTTCTGGTACACAGATACGACTCCCAAATCGTAAGGATCTGTCCTCATAAACAACAAATTTCGGCCGAAGGCCAGCCACTGCTAACTCTCTGCACTTTTGAAGAAATGAGTCACCTGCTTGTGCAGCCTTGATTCGCTCGACCAATGTCGATTGAATCTGAAGATTCATCAAAGAAGCACCTGCTGAAGTCTCCACTGAGCCGTGAGGGTCATGATTGCCGACAAACGACTCAAAGCATCTGGTACCACATTGACCTTGCCAGGGTGATACTGAAGATCAATGTCATAGTCCGCCATCAGCTCTAACCATCTGTGCTGTCTCATGTTGAGCTCCTTCTGCGTAAAGATGTACTTCAAGCTCTTGTGATCAGTGAACACCTTCACTTGCTCTCCCAACAAATAATGCCTCCAAAGCTTAAGGGAAAAAATCACAGCTGCCAACTCCAAGTCGTGGGTAGGATAATTCTGCTCATGCTTCTTCAACTGACGAGAAGCATATGCTACCACATGACCATCCTACTGAAGAACGCATCCCAATCCTCTACCTGATGCATCGCAAAACACCTCAAAGTTCCCACTCTTATCTGGTATCGTCAAGACTGGGGCCGAAATCAATCGAGACTTTAACTCCTCAAACGCCTGCTCACAAGCATCGGACCAAACAAATCTAATGTCCTTCCTCATAAGTCGTGTCATTGGCTTCATGATATTCAAGAAATCCTTGATGAAGCGCCGATAATATCCAGCTAGCCCCAGGAAGCTCTTAATGTCAGATACTGTCCTAGGGGTAGGCTAATTCCTCACTGTAGATACCTTTTCCAGATCCACTGATATACCGTCTCCTGACACCATGTGTCCTAGAAATGCGATGCGATCTAGCTAGAACTGGCACTTGCTATACTTGGCGAACAGCCGATGCTCTCTCAGGGTCTGCAACACGTACTGCAAGTGCTCTGCATGCTCCGCTTCACTCTTGGAGTATACCAGGACATCATTAATAAAGACTTCTACAAACTTGTCCAGCACATCATAGAATACCAGATTCATCAGGCTTATGAATGTCGCTGGTGCATTAGTCACACCAAACGACATCACTAAGAACTCATAATGTCCATATCTCGTCTGGAACGCAGTCTTAGGAACATCAGAGTCCTTGACCTTCACTTGGTGATATCCACTCCGCAGATCCAGCTTAGAAAATACTCTCGATCCTCCTAATTGGTCGAAGATATCATCAATACGGGGAAGTGGATACTTATTCTTCACTGTCACAGCATTCAACTCCCGGTAGTCGATGCACATTCGCTTGGATCCATCCTTCTTACCCACAAGAAACATAGGTGCTCCCCAGGCCGATACACTGGGTCGTATCAAGCCTCTCTGCATAAGATCATCCAACTGAGTCCAAAGCTTGGTCAACTCAGCCGGAGGCATACGATAAGGAGTCTTGGAGATCGGAGCAGTTCCAGGCTTCAATTCTATGGAAAACTCAATTGCTCGATCCGGTGGCAACCCGTAAATATCATCGGGAAATACATCTTCAAATTCCCGAACTACAATTGGCTTCTCGGATTCCACCTGCATGGTAGCAAACGTCGCCTTCTTCGGTCTAGCTCTGTACTCTACAGGTTCGGCCGATGTGCTGCAACTGAGGAACTCAAACCTCGGGTGATCCGGTATCTCAAATACTACACTTTGACGACGACAATCAATGGTGGCAAAGAATGACCCCAACCAATTCATCCCAAATACTGCATCAAAGCTCGGCAAATCAATCACCAGAAGATCTGCAAAGAGCTCTCTCCCGCTGATAACCACCGGACATGCTTCATAACGACCGGATGCTACTAAAATACCACTACCAGTGTTGATATTCCAGCCCATAGTCAGAGGAGTTATAGGAAGAGAGTGAGCACTCGCAAATCGACGAGACAAGAAACAATGAGAAGCTCTAGAGTCAAAGAGTGATAAAGCAGGAACGGAAGAAACAAGAACCTTGCCTATTACAGGAGGAGATAATGCAACTAAACTTCGCACTCATAAAAAATCCTATTATGATATCATCAAGTAATGCTAAATAAAGAAGTTCATATGCAAATAAAACTAAGATGAACAATTCTTACCAGTAATAACCTAGTCGTTCGCTTCAGCTTCCACAGCTGACATCATAAACGTCTGTCGCTGTGGTTGTTGCCGTTGCACTTCCTGATAAAACTGCTTATGAGGAAGAAAAGGCCCTGCTCAGGGATAGGGTCCCTGCTAAGCCGGTGCTACTGGGGCAGGTCGAGGTGGAGCTGGAAGAGCTGCCCGAACTGAAGGTGGGGGCAAGCGGGCCTGTTGTCGTTGTGGACAGTCCTGACTGACATGATCAGGGGATCCACATGTGTAGCACAGAAGAAGACGCCTGCGGCACTCCTGCTGGGTATGCCCAGTGTAGACATAATAGGAACATTTCACTGAAGGCTGGCCTCGAGTCTGCACCCCAGGACGTTGATAGGGGTGAGCCTGATGAAATGGCTGACGCTGAGAATGTTGTTGCCTCTACGGGGCCTGCTGCTGCTGCCTCGGAGGGGGACGCTCGACATTCTGGGCTGGAGCTGC